AGTGAAATAAAAGTATTCCACCGTAGTGTACTTACCCTCTGCCTCCGCTATGCCAGTAGGGGATGCAACATAGTTGTCCTCACGTTTCCCCGAACCATCGAAAGTTACTTTGTCATCGTCACTGTTCATTGGTGGTTCAGATTCCATTCCGGCTCCACCTACCCATGAGTACCAACATACCCAATATTAGAAACCGCGTGTCGTTCAGGATTTACAGTATACACACTTCGGAATGAGGTGACACCTAAGTACGAAGCAAATATTATGCGTTACTTAACACACGTATCGTTCTGCTCTTGCATTTCCTTGTCCATATCTTCGTCTTGATCGACCGGCAACGGGAAGATGCCTCTTCCATGCACTACAAAACAACATTTGCAAAGACGTAAAGGGGTTACATATTTGGTAGTATCAAATATTAAAGATTGCATGAAAATAAATCCATCGTAATTGATGCACATACCTTGCGGTTCACACATTCCGGGACAGGGTCGGTCTTGCCTCCATTTCCGTCTAAGTCACAAATCCCACGTTTACTCAATGTCACTAAACATAAGTAACATATAGTAGATCAAAAATTAAATGTAGTACACATACCGTGCAGTAAACTACCTAAAACTGTGGGCTCGTTGGCCGCCTGAGCCGTAGGTGGAGTACTTCTAGAGAGAGATGGGGGGACGAGGGTAGAAATGAAGTCCCTGACCTTCACAAATTCGTCGGTCACGTGCTGTATGATCTCAAGCTTGATTGTACGGAGACGAATTTCGATGAGCGTTCTTTGATCCAGTAATAGTTCCTCTACCCAGCTCTCGTGAGGCTCGTCCAGAGGTTTGACCTTGTTGTACATAAGATGTGGAGGGTGCATCACTGGGAGAAGTACGTCTGTGCATGGGGGGGAGTGGAATATGTCCCAGTCTGTGGAGGCCTTTCCACTGTCGTCTTCACTTTATCACCTCCAGTCTCCTCACCGGCTCCCTTGTCGTCACTGTCGCCCGACTCCTCATCTTCCTCGGAGCCTCCTCCACTGGAAACCAATGCGCACTCTCCCCTCGAGTTTCCAACTTTACCCCCACAGGCCAAAGGCTCTAGGTGAAGCTGTGAAGGGATAATGTCCCTTGCAACGTTGTCCAACGCAGGTACAGTACGGTCTCCAAACGGCAGGAGAGTGGAGATATATGGTTGCCCAAGCTCAGCTTCGGTGGGACGAAGCGTCGCGGACACGTGCAGCTGTAACATAAAGGAACTGAGTGTCACCACAAATGTAACGACTAACTACACATGCAGATCGCGTGCAGGAAACGCAATCCAATACTTTAATGTTCTTGAAGAATGCATCATACGTCCGTTGTTGTGGCTGTTTGGTACACGTCCAACTCAGAAGCCGTGGAGATTGATGACCCAATCGTCGAGCAAACCGATCCCCAATTTCTGGCATTGCCTCGAATGCCCAAATCTATTATAGCAGATAGTAAGTGTGAGTTGAACATTAAAGGAACCAATGACAATACATTTCTGATGAAATAATGACTACGTTGTACAAAATTTTAGTGTAGTACCTGCAAGGCAATGGGAAAGTCGTGAACTGTATAAGTAATCGCCTTCTCCTTCTTATTTGTGGCATCTACAAATTTTCATCCCAGATAGCGTCGGAAGCCCCTTATTAGACGAATGTACGATACTCTACCCCAAGGGTAGGAATAGAACATGTCCAGATCATCCATGATCGACAGCGTGGGAAGTTCAATATCGGCATGGCTATCATGAGCATTGAACACTCCTTCGATGATTAGAGCAAGCCTGAGCTTGTACTGATCTGCCCAGGGCGTCAACGGCCGGAGAAATGCCTTCTCAAATTCGCCACACGAAATCCTATCCATTGATTTGAAGTATTTATCCTTCAATCTCCTCTTTTGCAGAACTCGGTCCATCGCGACGTCATCTGGAAGAGGACCACACATTAAACCCGTGACGAGAGCATACTCTTGCAGGCCAAACCTCGCTAAGTGGCCTTGTACTTTGAACTATATTTCACAGGCCTTTTCAGTTTGTATGCAGCGAAAAATGAGCTGCTGGATTAGTTAGGCTGAGAATTGGAGATCTCAAACCTCGGATAAGAACCCTAGGCATGAGTTATGGAAGTCCGTACGCTGCCGATCATCAAAATGCTCAAGGACTGTCTTCAATACCGTAGTTGCTTCGCTGTGAGATGTGGGCCCTCAGCAGTGCATTCTTTGGAACTAGATATTCAAAATCCATGCACCCTCCTGCAGTTTAACAAAAATTTAATACGTCAGATCGTAGTATTTCAAGACATACGAAACGTCGGGACGAAAAAAATTGAACCACATTTGGACAAACAAGGTGCAATGACGAATCAATCAACAAATGGCCGGATCATAGCATTGCAATGATGTTAATGCAAAAGCACACATGCAATGTTGGAACCAATAAACAAATCGTGAGATCATACATTTCAGTAATGTGAAACACACGTACGATGTTGCAATGACGGATCAATGAACAAAATCGTGACATCATAGCATAACAGTATTTTTAATGCGAAACATACGTGCAATGTCGGAACCAAATTTCAATTTGCAAAACTATGGAACAAAGGAACTGTCGTTCCTGACAGTTCATCGGTGGACAGGCTCATCTGTCGAGAATTACTGAGACTAACTGTCGGGATCGACAGTTCATATGTCGACGATTCCATTTGTCGAGAATTTCTGTTGCGAACTGTCGGGAACGACACTTCGTTAGTAAGCGATTTAAGAGGAAATGCATGTATGGAGGTCAACACTTCATGTCGAGGGACAGGCATGGAGAGTGATAGTGGAAGAAGCTTCAAGGTGAATGCAAATATGAGAGGTTACAAAAAGGTTGAAACGATAAATAGGAAGAAAGTGAATGAGATTCATGTTGAGGGGAAGTCATGTTTAGGCCAAACGAAATTATGTACCGAGCTACTACAGGGGATTTCTCCCTTGGAGAAAAACATATATACCTTACACACACACACACACACACATACACATTATATTTTACTACTATATTAAATTAAAAATAGAAATTACCACAAAATAAAAAAAAAATATCAAAAGTATGTCATATAAACTTCCCTTAATTTCATCAGTAACTCAAACATTATATGAGATTTAAAATGGAGGAATGAATATAATATGCTACAAATTTGCGCATTCAAAGGATTAATACAATCTTTCCTTAATTTTTATTGTAAATTACTTGTTGTAGTACATGGTTCTTGCTGTTGCAAATCCGAAGAAGCCAAAATTTGAGAGAAAACCACAAAAGTTTCTTAATGACAACAGCAGGTATGTGGCTGTCGGAATATACAGAGGAAATCGTATCTATTATACACTCAATTTATATTCATTTTTTTCCAAAATTTCCATTCTTCATGTTTCTGCTTCTATATATAAACTTTAAATTATCTGCCATGGTTTTCGCATTCTTTTGAAGTTGCCTTGACTATGCACTAGCTTTCGTAGTTTCTCTTTAATTTAGTTTAAACTCAGGTTCTCCAATCAGTGGTTCCAATCAAAGATGAAGAGGTGGTTCTTGGACAATATGAAGGTTATAGGGATGACCCGACAGTTCCCGACAACTCAAACACCCCTACTTTTGCAACTATGGTTCTTAGAATACATAATGAAAGATGGGAAGGTGATATGGAATATCAACTCTTTTGGCATGTTTGGTTAGGGATTTGGATGCTACCAGACAACATGAACAAAGAACATAAAGTTAAATTTTTATTTTTTTATATTTTCTTGTCAAGTATTGCGTACCATAGATTCACTTTAGGCCTTAATATTTATTATAGTAGAGCAGAATAGGGGTATCCATGTAGCCAATCGATAATGAGGCCCAGTTCTGTTCACTTGAAGAGCTGTAAACTATTTCTACATTGAGGGAAGAAAGTAAAAAAAAATAGGGAATACTTTTGTGTTGTCTAGTAAGAATTGCATGTGCGAACTATGAATTAAGTTCGGTTTGACATGAAATTGAATTTACTTGCTGTAGGTATACCTTTTATACTTAAGTTTATTCACAGTATATTGAAAGCAAGCTACATTAAACTCATTCCTAAAAGATGTGTACAGGGATAGCATTGTCTAATTCACCAACTTAAGTAGATGACTCGCTGGGATTTGAATTCATATTTGTTCTTACATTATCACAAACACCTAATATGCACATCTTTAATTTTCTAAAATTTTTAATTTTTCTACCTACTGACTCCATTCAATTAATCCAAATACTCATTTATATGTATAATAACTCAAAATGGGTTTTTCACATATGAATTTTCATATCATACGTACAACATAAAAAAGCTTCAACATATCATCATCCCAAACTAGGTCTACGCAATAAAAACATTTTCTCTTCTCCACAAAATTATAAAAACAGAATAAAACACCAACCTGAAGATACTAGGGACGGTCTTCATCGGCTGTGGACTGATTCACGGCGATCGTCGACGATTGGGCGTTGGACGATTCAAATGACAAGGAGTCAGTGCTCGGCTTCAACTGATTCGAATGTTAGAGAGGACTGAGTTTGTATTTTGTTGTGGTCGTCTTCGACGGTGAACGTCTTCATGGTGGTCCTCGACGGGTCGTAGGTGGGTGATTCGACTGAGAGAGTGAAGTGGGTTTCAGGCCGGTTTCTTTTTTTTCTTGTTTCACCTTCTTCCTTTCTTTCTTCTATTTCCAACATTTTATCCTGACATTTTACAAATTTTTGTACAATTTTTAAGAGGCTAGTAATATAACATTTAATGAAGGACACATAAGATATTGAAATTATTTAGAAGGGCAAAAAAGTTTGAAAATAACATTTTTTATAGAACTTTAAAAATATGACATTTTTGATAATAAAAAGTGAAATTTTGACTATTCTCATAATTTCCTCTTTTTATAAAGTGCAATAGCTATCGGAAGGCGCCATGTTTTACTCTAGTCCCGAGGGCCCTACAACAATGGGCAATTGGGCATACGGTAGAAACTTCAAATACTCGTCTTCTCGTCTCCTAATCAGACGAACAACTTTCCAACCATTCCGCCACCGGCTGTGACTTCGACTACAAATGGGCATCTCGTGGAGTAAAAGGCATCGCCACCACCAGAACCATGTGAATCAACACCAGCAACCTGGCACTCCATACTCCTCTTATGGCCCTTCTCTTCTGGTCAACCCTCTCGAACCAATTCCAACACCGCCACCTCCTCCACCGCCGCCGTCTGCATCAACACCCCATACTTTCCGACCACAAACACCAGGCCAACCCCCTGAACCACCAAGCTATTCCTTCGCAGCTAACGCCCCTTATCATGCACCCTCTTCAGCACAACAACACTTCCGCCCCGCGCAACTCCCTCCCCGTCCTCCACCGCCTCCTCCTCCTCCTCCTCCTCCTCCTCCTCCGTATATTCCTAACTACAACTATAATCACAACTACTCTAATTACTATTCTAGGCCGGTAAATAACATGGGTCAATACTCCAACTACCGTCCGTCTTTCGTCCCCCATATGAGGTGGGGCCCAATCCCTCCGCCGCCGCCATCACCACCTCCAGTGCCTTACGTTGATCACCAGAGTGCCAAGAAGATCAAGAATGATGTGAATATTCACAAGGACACCATCAGGCTTCAAGTAGATGTGCTGAACCAAGATTACCAACTGGTAACGTTCACTTTCGATGCCTTGGTAGATGGAAGGTATATAAATCTTGCTTACTTGTGCCTATACTTGATATTATTCCCTTTATTTTCTTTTTTTTATTAATTTACGTATACACCGTACCTGTGATTGCTTGATTAGAATTAATTCCAAGATGGGGAAGAACTGAAGTATTCTATCCATTTAATTAGAACTTGGATCAGTTACAGTTCTAGGCAATCTGAGCATCAAAACATAAAGAGTTATAGCTATTAGAGAGACATTAGGATAAAATGATTGGTGTTCTATCCCCAGGACCCACCCAGCCGAAAGAAGACGTAAGTCTCTTTGGCGCTGAAACGAGAAAAAATGATTTCCCTAAGTTAATTTCATATCTGTGCATTGTATCCAGTTTTCAACTTTGATAAGCTGTGACGAAATTTTCTACAAGATGATTTGAAACTAGATATTCATGTCGTGCAAATTACAATCATGCTGCTTTAATGTCAAGTCTTGCAAATTATTTTTGTTTCTAGTCATTAAATACCTAATATTGTACATTAGGATGATGAATTCATGTGATCTTGTCTAGTCATATGAATCACACAGATTACGTTTATTCGGTAAACATAGTACTTCTTTGTCCTAGCTTTATAGCTCAAGAGAACCTGTGAAAGGATCACAGAAAATGAATGTGAATGTTTAATTCTGGTGATAAGAGTGAAGTCTGAAGAGTAAAGTAAAGAATCTTTTAGTCATTAATTTATTCGCCAAGGGCCCTTTCGTAAGATTACTTGCCTTTTGTGGAATGTGAAGGCTGAGAATCTTAAGCCCTCTAACGCTGGCCATTCTTTGGGTTGTGTGGACTAGAAAAAGGTTTAAGGTTAACCAATTTTACATGTCAGGGATGATTATTAATTATAATTTTTGTTTTTTCTCTTCTTCAACTGCATTTTATATTTTATTTATTTTCTTCTTCTTATTACGGAGATTCGGGATATCTTAGTGGAACTTTTATACTTTTAGTTTCAAGAATTAGTGTTGTTTGAAACTATTTACATGCCCCTTAAGTTTTTTCTCATAATAAAAAAGGGGTGAGTTGGTGGTGTTATTTGCAAGATTATTCCATATTTTTTAATATGAAACAATATACTGTTCTATTCAAGTTAGTAAAGATGTGGACCAGAACCGAAAACTTTCTGACAAATTTCCCAAAATTGAAGTATTTGAAGGAATTTGTGGTGCTGATAAGTTCTTGATTAATTTCATCTTTTTACCTTGTATCAGTTAATGATCAGCTGAATGGATTTGTTATTTCATGTCATATTTTTCAACTCAATTCAACGAATTATTATTATTATTCTTTTTAATCTCATATCTATCTGGGGTTAGCTATAAGTTTCCTCTTTCCACTTCATTCGATATGAGACATATCCAAAGTTAAGCTACAAAGGTTTAAGTCTTATTTAATCACCTCATTCTATGTGATCTTAGGTTGACCTCTTTCTCTAGGTTTATTGTTTATACATCTCTTCTTCTGATGGGTATATGTAATGACCTTCTGTACGTGCCCAATCCATCTTAAATGGTTCGCATGTAATAAAATCAATTAGCAATCTTAATCGACTCAAAAAATCTGATAATTTATTACTTATATTTGTCCTTGTTTAACAGTAAAGCCCTTCTCAATATTCTAATCTCAGCCATATATAACTTGTGGAGATGTCATTTCTCAATAATTAAACATTTGGTTCATACAGTATTGGAGGTAGAACATTCCATTCAAATTTCCTTGTCAACAGTGTGTAAGATTTGTCTAGTTAGGGCACTCCTCCACTTACCACAACCAATCTTAATCCTTCAACATCTTTTCCACTATCTCCCTTCCAATGAATAGTTCAGCCTAGTTTCATATTCTATGGCATCTAATCTCAACTATGCCTCAAATGAGTTTTTCTATATTTATGAAACTCGGACTCCATTAACTTGTTCTCACATTGGCTAACTTTGAATCTGTTGTTTCAAGATGTTCTCTCAACAACTCCAGCTAAGGAATGAGTCCCATTCTAGCTTCTTCCACTGGGGCGACATGACCTGCAAAGAATATGAACTATAGTACCTCATCTCATGTTAATTAGTTAGTTCGTACATAATTAAAAGAAACAAATATAGGCTGGAATATGACCATTGGTGTGTAGGCGTACAGCAATAGGGAAAATGCTACTCTCCATTACTTTTTAAAGTGGTCNAATATAGGCTGGAATATGACCATTGGTGTGTAGGCGTACAGCAATAGGGAAAATGCTACTCTCCATTACTTTTTAAAGTGGTCATAAATCCTAGCACAGATCTTTGATAACATCAATAGTCCCTGTTTAACCCCTTTCTTTTCTAAATTTTACTATACTGCATTTTCACACGCCCTATCATACATCTTCTCTGAATTAAGTAAAATCATGTGAAGGTTTTTCTCCTCCATCAGTTGTCTTCATCAGTTTCTTAGCAAATACATAGCATATATTCTCATTCTTCACATCTATGCATCTAAATTAATTTTCTTAAACCATCATTTCAAGATTAATTCATGTCTCAATCACTCTCTCCCAAGGTTGTATTGTAATTAATTCCTCTGTTTTTCCTACTTCTTATGTCCGCCCTTGACCCTCCACCAATTGAAGAAAGACACTGTCCCTTCCGACATCAAGAAACAGGCCGTCAAACACAAAGCAATACCTAGATATACATAATTAACAATAATGTGTTTTCATTCTCTTTTATCGTCGAGGGTGGCTGAACCTCTTCAAAGTCATCCAACTACTTTCTAACACCCCTGTGCTAATGATACCGTGTTCTTTATTGGATTAACGCCATTTGCACGGACTTATTTACCTTCATCAACACTCGGCAATTTGATATATATAAACAGTAGCATTAAACAATTCTAGAAGAGAGGGTGGTGGGAGAGGGAGTGCCAAATTCTTCATACCATGGAATAATTAAATCCAAATTCTTCATACCATGGAATAATTAAAATTAGAGTTTGTACTCAGTAGACTTTTCTTGTCTATCGAACATCAACAAAATTGATTGGGGGTCGTAATTGTGGTAGTATAGGTTATAAGTAGGATCGCCGTGGGATAGTACTTTAGTGGATGGTGTTGAGATTGCTGTCTGCAGTGATGGTGGTGTAAGACTGCAGTGATCCCTTTTTGGTGGTGACATGCGGTGCATGTATCTTGGTTTTGCATTGCCTAAGGTAGCATTTTGTGTTTGTAGCTGTTCTTATAAATTTCTAAGTTCCCTTTTTCGAGTTCACTCAATCAATGATACTATATGCTGGAACCTTTAGCTTGTATGACGAATAAATTGTTTGCTTCAGTGCCTTCCACATGCTTTCTTGCAGTCTCTAGTACAGCCTATGTTGTCATTATGCTTTCTGGGACTTTGTTCATATTTTTCAAAGATGACATTCTATACCTAATATATAAAAATCTTCTATTTCAGTATTACTATCTTCTATTTCGCCAAGGAGGGGGCCAACTGTACATTCACTCCAGTGTATCCTGAGATTGTGCCTGTAAAAATTCCATTTCAAAAAGGAGTGGGCCAGAAATTCTGTCAGCCTTCTGGAACTGGTATTGATCTAGGCTTCTTCGACATTGATGACTTGTCAAAGCCTTCCCCAGGAGAGGACATTTACCCACTTGTTATATCAGCTGAGTCACATGTGCTATCCACCCCTGTGGATGAACAGCCATATGTGGAAGTGGTGAATACATCACCCAATGCACAAATCACTCAGGCGGTCTTAGAAAGGAAAGATGAAGGAAATTTTCAAGTAAAAATAATCAAGCAAATTTTGTGGACTGATGGTGTTCGTTATGAGCTGCGTGAGATTTTTGGCATCAGAAGTCCAGATGAAACAGCAATCAGTGACGTGGACTCAGGAAAAGAATGTGTCATTTGCATGACAGAGGAAAAGAATACAGCTGTTTTGCCCTGTAGACATATGGTAAGAGCCAGAACTTTGACTATCTATGTGTTCAGACCATAGTATATGATGACAAGCATACCAATATGTTCAAAACATAAGACATGATAACAAGCTTACCAATGTGATTACCGAATGTAAACAAGTTTATCTATGTTCGGAGAATTAGTCTTGATGTTGTTCTAGGCTAAATTAGTGTTATCAAATTAATATTCCTTATTCCCTGGATTCTTGATTGATAATCTAGACGGTATGAGTATTAGAGTGTTGACATTCTCAGTTATATTTTATTTTGATTCTCCTCCTTGTTTTTGGGTGTGCATCAGAACTCCATACAGAGAGTTCAAACACTTTCAACTTTGTAATCATGAAATTTAATGGAAATGTGCTGAGAAGTTTTCCAAAAGAAGTCCTCTACTTGAGAAACTCATACAGTATTTGACAAACCTCTCGTGTCAACTTAGGGTGACTCAAAATTTGACTTTAAACCGTTATCTAGTAGTCAACAACTGTCTTGGTCCATTCCATATCGGCATTGTCTTAATCATTGTTTACAAGTTAGGAAGAGGAGCAGAGATATTCTGCTTTTGATTCGTTCTTCTGATTAGTAAAGAACAGGCAACTTAGTCGTTAAAAACTAATAGACGAGTCTGAATCTGCAGCATTTCCACGTACAGTTTCATTTTATGGATCAAGTTCGATAGAAGGATTAACATGGAAAAGATATATCCTTCGATCCTCCCTTTTCTTTTCTAAATTCACAGCCTTTGCTAGTATGCCTTCTACTCTTCTTCAACAACATTTCATTTTCCTTTAGAGCAGTTGCACGAGAAGCTTGTATGTGATATTTATGTTTCTTGGTTCCCAGTGTATGTGTTGTGATTGTGCCAAGGAGTTGAGGCTTCAATCGAACAAGTGTCCTATATGTCGCCAGCCCATTCAGGAGATTCTAGAGATCAAACTTGATGAAGGTAACAACAAAGTACAATTTTAACAATCTCTTGTATATTTTATCTCTGTTAATATATTCATCTGCTTCAAATAAGAGATTCTTAGAAAAGTTTTAACCCTCTCTGCCCTTTCTCTCTTCACCTTCAGAAGGTGAGACCTAGCAAGAGAAGTATACGTGCAACAAAATTGAGCTGCAGCTTTCGTATGAATGCTCATCGTCCACAATTTGAAGTTTGGTAATCATAAATGCTTATAACATATTGTGTATAGCAAATTATACTGTAGACGGTATATTCATTTTTAAAATTTCTTAATTTGTTATCCAGGTTTGTGTTTAATTTAACTTTGCTTGCAAGTATTTTGTCGCTCTTTTCAAAAACCACTTTGTTTCCATGTTTACATATCTCTTCGTTGTGTATACAATACGTGTATTAATGCTGCCTCTGTGATTGGGAAAGATGGGTTATATTTTTGTAGAGGTAGTGAAGTTGATACTCGAATGCTCAAACTTTATAATTTACGTACGTATTTTTGTGAAAATTACTTTATACATACTCTCTGTGAACTTTGAAACTTGTGAATTGAAGTGTGTAAATTGTTAAATTTTCCATTGAAATGCATTGTTTGGCTTGAGTTAGTAATGCAGATGTGACAGGGTATGTTTGGTTGAGGAAGCAAAGTTGAGAGTTGAATGCACATTTTGCCTTTAACCAAAAAAATCTGGATATGTCAAAAGGAATGAAAATATGGTCAATAAATCTTGGAAGGAGTTAAAGTGGAAGCAATCCCAAGGAGTTATGCCCACAGAATGTTGCTATGGTTTTCCTCTAAAGAATGGGAAAAAGC